AAGGAAAGAGCAAATGTCTAAATTAAAAAAATACCTTGTAATTGGATTCCTAGGATTTAGGCTATGTTCAAATGGAGCAAAAAAAAAAAAAAAAAAGTCTTGTATTTGTAAGTAAAACAGAGAAGTCCTAGTCTTAGGTAATTATAAATGGCATTTTCATCTTCATTATGGTAGGCAAGACTGCTGTCATTTGTACAAGACACAGGGTAATTTTCCATTGTGAAGGACATAGTATAGGACATATATCATTCCAGGCCTTGTTCACCAAGTTCCTGTAGAGCCCTCAACTATTATAGCATTTTCCAAATGTCCTCTATGGGTTGGTATCTCTTCTACTGAGAACCATTGATCTGATTGGAAGACAAGGTGAGACAGGGGGAAGATTAAATTATACCAGAAGACTTCAATAACAGCCTAGAAAAAAACAACAATCCATAAACAAAGACAATAATAGGGATGTTACAAGGTCACATATCTTCGGTAGCGAAGTAGAAAAGGGAGTAAAGCTTATGCATTTTAAGGAGCCCACACCAGTCAAAGCGAACATTAGACAGTGGTGGAACAGAGGTGAGTCTTCAGTGATGGCCACCCCGCAGAGAGGCAGAAAGGAGCAAGTGGGCATCACAGGTTGGAGATCCACTGAGCAGGGTGTGCAAAGGCATGAAGTGCAAATAAACCTGCTAGGTCTGGGAGACATCGGTGATACAGAATTGCAGACATCTCCAAATTAATTCTCCAGAAAAGGCAGAGGGAATTGGTAGTTCAATGATTCTCCCTCTCCTCTCTCTCATTCTCTTTTACTTTAATTACAAAAGTACAATTTATATTGCAGACCTCAGTTGACCTCTGTGAAACCTAATCTGGGTAAGGATTGCTTCTAAGACCATCTAGAATGATCACTGCTGATGTATTTCTTCATAATTTATACAACATAGGATAACAATGGATGCCTGTGATTGTGTTAATAATGTTGGTGATAATGACTATTACACACTGCCATGACCAAAAAAAATACCTCTGATTATGGCATTCACATTCATCCATAACAATGACAAAAAGCTCATGACTTATTTAACACATATATATATATATTTTAATGTTTTTTAAAATTTATTTCTGAGAGAGAGAGACAGCGTGAGCAGAGGAGGGTCAGAGGGAGAGAGAGATACAGAATCTGAAACAGGCTCCAGGCTCTCAGCTGGCTGTCAGCACAGAGCCCAACGTGGGGCTCGAACCCACGAACCATGAGATCATGACCTGAGCTGAAGTCGGACGCTTAACTGACTGAGCCACCCAGGCGCCCCTAAAACATATTTAAATTGGACAATATTCCTATGTTTTAGCAAACGCTGGCAATAAAAGACTAATAATAAGTATTTAAAACATTGAATCATAACAATAATCAGTACTTTATATCAAGTATCTTCTATTAGCATCACTTCACTTCTGTCTCTCCACCTAATTGCATGATTATGCACTTTACCAGTAATACTGGCAATATTTTAAAAATTCTTTGTGTTATGAAAAATGTAAACAACCTTATACATATTTTCATATATCTGATCTGCTAAAAAGAAAGAGAAGAGGGAATGTCTTCATGTGAGGATAGGATCTAATGAATTTAGCTAATAGAGAGGACCATGGACCATGGTTTTCTCCTGTTTGTCATTTTATTTCTCTACCCCATTCCCTGAAATAATTTGTTATAATTATCTAACATTTTAGATACTTACAGATTTAAAAAAATCTACACAGTACTACATAATAATTTTGAAGAATGAAGGAAGCACAAAGTATAATAATATATTTTTCAGGGCATGTGAGTAGCTCAGTTAGTTGAGTGTCTGACTTCTGCTCAGGTTGTGATCTCCTGGTTTGTGAGTTCAAACCCCACATTGGGCACACTGCTGTCAACATAGAACCTGCTTAGGATCCTCTATCTCCACCCCCTCTCTCTGTGGCTCCCCAGGTCATGCTCTCTCTCTCAAAAATAAATGTATTTTTCATTCCTTCTGATGGAATTTAGTGATGGAAAATTCAATAATTATTAATCTACATATCTAATTTTATTTAATTATATATTTTTCTATACCTCTTTTTCATAACATACTCTAACATTTTCGTGTACTTTTTTAAGGTTTTTACATCTTTGTGGACTTTAAGTTGTTCCACACATAAGCGCGCACGCGCACACACACACACACACACACACACACACACACACAGATAAGTTAAGAATTCAGATAAACAAGGATGGTTCCTAGCTATATCTACTATGCTTTTTAAATCTGTTTATCCTCTGCCTACTGTCTGCACAGACTTTCCTACAGAAAACTCTCTTTAACTATGTGTTGAACTAGTAAAACTTACATAATACCTTATGTAACAATTTAAATGTGGCAGATATATGAAATGATTATGAAGTTCTTGTCAATAATTTTCACAGTAGTCTTAACATGAAATGCCTTAAGAATATTAAACTGTGATGATTCAGCCAGTAGTAGGTTTTGCCAACACTATTAGCAATTTTGCTTTTCAACTTCCCTCAGACTACTTGAGGAAAATGTTGTGTTTCTTCTTAAATGTTTGTATATTTTTGAGAGAGAGAAAGCATGAGCAGGGGAGGGGCAGAGAGGGAGAAAGAGAATCTCAAGCAGGCTCTGGGCTGCCAGCGCAGAGCTTGAACTCGCTAACCATGAGATCATGACCTGAGCCCAAGTCTGGCAGTCAGCCAACTGAGCTACCCAGGAGCCCAGGAAAATGTTTTTGATAAACACATCTAGTTTTGTTACTGTGTGTGTGTTTTGGAAGATTATATCTATCTATCTATCTATCTATCTATCTATGAATCAAGAATCCCAAGCAGTTCCACACTGTCCATGAAGGGCTCAAACTGACACACTGTCAGACATGTGGCTCACATGGGGCTGGCACAGGGCTTCCATGGGGTTCAAACTCAGGAACTGAGATCATGCTCTGAGCCAAAATCAAGAGTCTGATGACTAACCTACTGAGCCACCCAGGTGCCCCTAGTTTGTTATTGTTATATGTGACATTCTTTCTGTAAGGATGGCTTTGTCTGCCTTGAAGCCATTGTCTTAAACTACATTACAATATGTATATTTTAAAGCTTTTGGAGGGACACAGTTTACTCCATTGATAATGGATTTTGTCATTATTCAATTCACATCCCAACAGCTCTGTGAAGTTCCATCAGCAATCCTTAATGATGTAAGCAGTTATCATTTCTTTCTCTTACCGGTTAAATAAAGACCTATGTGCTTTCACTTCTAGCTTCTCACACTGGCTTGAAGTATTAGTTCCCTTTCCTTGAGCATATGTTCCCTCTCTTCACCTGGCTTGTAGGTTCCTTAAGGGGTCAGGTCAATTTTACATCTTCCATCTTGCTAAGGACAGAAAGGCTTTAGCATACCACCTTTAATGGATTATCCATCTCCACTTACATTTTCCTCTCTTTCATTAGCTATTTAATAATTGACACTCTAGTAGATATCCTTCTTTGAGATTTCACTAATGTATGAATGAATAGCTTAAGGAAATTAGACTTCATATGAGCCCATTTTAACTTGTTTAGTCTAAATATTCTTGCTATTTTTAAGTAAGTGTATATTTATGAATGCTCATAAGAAACATTCAGAATTATTTTTGAACATTGTGAAAGCAAACCAGTTAATGAGGTACCCACACAAATAACATGTATTGAGTGAGTAGGATGAATGCGTTTCAGAAATGAAGACCAGGATTGCAAAAATATTGGGGCACCTGGGTGGCTTTGCAGGTTAAGCATCCAACTTTGGCTCAGGTAAATATCTTGTAGCTCGTGAATTCGAGCCCCACGGTGGGATCTGTGCTGACAGCTCAGGGCCTAGAGTCTGCTACGGATTCTGTGTCTCCCTCCCTGTCTTCTCCTCTCTGGCTTGCACTATCTTTCTCTCAAAAATAAACATTAATTTAAAAAAATACATTAAAACGTTAGACATGTAAATTACAGAAACAGAAGAAAAAAGTTACATACATAAAAAACAAGATAATTCTCTAGATACTGTTAAAGAAAAGAAAGGATAAATCACAGATACCACAATCTGGAAGCCTACCCTCCTTCTGTTTTGGAACTTGCTTTTACTTTCTGACTTAATCCTTCGCTCTGTGCTGTTTCAGCATCTAGAATATGTAAATCTCATCCTCCAGTCTAAGTCCACTCATCAATCAAGACCTAATTCAAATCCCAATAGTTTCACATTTTCCCCAAGTGTTTTATTCAGAGCAAGATATCCATAAAAGTCATTTTTAAGGTCAATTCCATTTTATGATAATTTGCATATCATGCCAAAAGCTTAAAATGTGCTTATTACGACCCTAGGTTTCATTTTTCCGGTACCAGGCTGCATTTTTAACGTTTGCTGCAAGTGACTATATTTTGAAGATTATATGGTTATACAATTACTAGAAACATTCCTAACAGATTTACCGAGATGTAGACAAATTTTTAAATAAATTTTATTTATTTCATTGATTTTAATTATTAACAATTGCTATAATTATTTTATGTTAAAGCCAAATTATAATGCCTCTATTCCCCTAACCTTCGTACACAGCATTCCACCTAGAGTGACGTGCTTTTCACGCAGGTATTCCTATTTTAAAGAGTATCTTTTCATCTCAAGTCAGCAACCAGCACAGGCCAAAGTCGATACCAAATCTTTGCTGATGTTTAAAATCTCTCTTTTACACAAATAGATACATGCACAAGTACTGTTTCTACCACCTTTCCACCTCCTGCCCTTTTCCAAGCCTGGAAACACTCAGGCAGTTGGGCGGGGGTCTGCATTGCTGGCCGCCGACTGGAATTATCTACCGCAGGCTCAGTCGGCCCCGCATCTCCCGATGGTACAACCCCATCCCCCGCTCTAACCCTGCGGCCCCCTCGCCCCCTCCCCCCCCCCATCCGCATTCCAGTGCCGGGGAAGGAGGAGGGTGAGAGCTCAACCGCCTCTTCCGAGGTCCACCCCCTTCGCAGGTAAGCAGGCGAGTCCTGGGCCTCCGCTCGCCGAGGCCCAGGTGTCGGGACTTGCAATCTCCAGAGACCCTGGAGGGCGGACGGGGGAGGAAGGCTTTATACTTTGCTGGTGGAGGGTTGGGTTTCTGAGTTCAGACAGGTTCCGAGGCGCTTTCTGGCTGCGCGGGGTTCGGCGTGACACGACTTCGAACTTGTTGCAACTGGTCCGCACACCCGCCCTCGCTCAGCTGTGCACTCGGGCCCGGGGAGGCGCGGTCGGCGCCGGAATCAGCTTCCCTCCGCCGACCTGACGCGCGGCAGGTAACTCCCCTCCCCTCTCCTCCCTCCGCCTCCCCGCTTCCTGGGAGGCAAACGTTCGGCGGCGGGCGCGGCTGCGCGTGGCTCGGGGGCGCTCCTGGCCGTAAGTGGGGCTCCCGGCTGCCCTCCGCGGCCCCGGCGGGCGGGAGACGGGCGGGCGGGGTGCGGCGGGGCCCGGAGGCTGCACCCACCTTGGGCCGGCCCGGCAGGGGGAGGGAAGGGGAGCACCCCTGGTGAGCCCGCGCGGGATCGGTGGTTCTCCAGGGTGCACATTTCGGTCTTCCCTGTTGGGCGTGTAGGTGAGAGTGCGTCGGGAAGTTTGAAAAGTTGTCTCGGGCTGAGTGTGGCTTCTGGTTCCCCAGGGGACAGGCGCCTCCCACCGTGGACGTGGGATCTGTTTCCCCTTGTGCTCTTGGGAGCTGGTGGCGGACCCCGGGAGAGAAAGCGGTAGGAAGGGTGTGGGAAGAGCCTTGTGGGAGGAAGTAAAGGACGTGGTCAGGCTGGGGGCAGGTTGCGGAGGGGGCGTCCAGCAGAAAAGTGGGGAGCATAGGCTGAAGGAGGGCGTGTGTGTTCTTGCGATCTCCCGTGGCGTTTGCAACTGGGAAAGGAAGACAAAGTTACTCTTGACTAAGTCTCGTTTCTTGTTTGTATCTAATCCTCTTCTGTCCCCAAGTCAGTTGAGACTTGTGTTTTCCAAACGAGTCTGCCCGAGTCTGGGTGTGTGTCCTTGGTTCCCTCGTAGGTGTTTCTGGTACACTCCAGATTATGAGAACCACTGCTCTAGAGGGAGAGGAGATTTGTTTCTGGAAAGGTACTTGGAGGCTTGAGGCCTATTCTTTGTGACGCGTTGGGAGAATTATCACCTGTATAAGGTGTGTGAGTAGGCAGACAATATGCCTGTGTGTTCAGGCTGCTGCGTCCATGAGTGTGTAAAGAGACAGTGGTGCTTTATAGGGAGGAGGTTGTGGAGACACAGGATTCCATGCTGTGAATTCATGCTGTGGGAACACAGGATTCATGCATGGAGTGATGAGGTTCTAGGTCCTAGGGTCTCCCACCCAGAAGTGGAGATAAGAACTCAGGAGGCCAGAAGAGTAAGAAAAAGAAAAAGCCATGCTGGTGGCAGGAAGTCGAGGCTGTAGACCAAGATGGCCAGCGACTCATTTCCAGATTCCCAGTTGGGACACATTTTGCTAGGTTACTGGCAGGCACCTCCCCTCTTTCCCTTTCTCATCCCCAACCAATGCAAGAGCCCCAGGGAAATCCATGACTGAGGCTGAATCAGTCCTGACAAGAAATAGGACAAGGAGATAGTGATGAAAGGGAGGACCTTAGAAGAGAAAACTATTAAAAAAAAAAAAAAGTTTTTTTTTTTTTAATTTGGTTTTTCAAAATAATTCAATAATGAGAATGCTGTGAAACAGGATGAGGTGGGTGTTAGGGGTCGGTCTTTATTTTTGTTTTTTCCCTGTCTTGCTGCAGTTCCCAGAATGGTGACAGTCCCCACACCTTCCAGTTTCAGATACCACCCCCTGGCTTTTGGGTTTAGGGCACACGTGGTGGACACACCTATTAAGACTGCTGGCTGCACCCTGCAGAGACTGCCTGAGGGGCTGGGTGGATCCTGCCTTTAAAACTGGCACATTCTAGACCACAGATGCTCAGAATTTATTGTGGGAAGCTGTACCTATTGAACAGTTGCTGAAAGGGATTGCATAGATGGAGACAAACCACACCTCTGGTGCTGACTCAGTGATGTCTTTTGTGATTACTCTTTGGAGATTATTACTGTAACTATAACTGACTAAACTCTTTTGGGATGGGTTAATTAATTTTACTATTCCTTCTCTTGTATTTCCTCCTGCTACCGTGTGTCCCCTTACTGTTTATACATTGAGTGTTTTCTTGATCATGACTTCCCCTGCAGCGACACACCTGCTTTGTTTCTTATTCCATTCCATTCTACAATAATGAGTTTCCAAGATGTAACAGTGTACTTTAAGTCTTGAGAAATCTTGTGGTGAAAGTGTGATCCCAGAAAAGCAGGCCTCTTCTCCATATCAGGTTGGAGGAGAGCTTTTGAATAGGCCCCGCTTACCTTAATTTAACTAATTATTTGTCAAATGACAAGTTGTCCTTGTTTAGCTCGTTAGGTAAGTTTGCATATCTGTTCCTCTGTAACTCGTAAAATATGAGTGCTCCAAGGATGTTTCACAATTCAGAGTCTGTTCCACACAATGTCTCTGCTAGTTTTGCAATGCACTTTTGTTTATTGAATTGTTTCTAATCTGGAAGTGGCATGTAGTTTAGAATTTTGTTGGTGAGTTTATCATTTGAGAGTCAGAATACATTCTCCTCAACACCCCCAAATAGTGTTCTAAATATGGATTTTGAGGTACCCTGGGTTAAATTCTATGCAGATAGCACCTAAGCTCCATTATAAATTAAATCTACTGATCAGTTCTTCGAGAAAACACTCTGGAGCCTTCGCATGCAGCTTCCTTCTTACTGAGATAGGCCAGTTGGCATTAGCATGGTTTTGTGGTATCTGTGTCAGCTTACAAGGGGCATGGGTGGAAGTAATGTGGAGTGGTAGAAAATTGGCTCCAGGTTGGGGAAAAATGGTTTATTAAGGAGGCTGAAAGCTCACACATATAAGGGGCAGATCAAGGAGGCAAAAGATGTTTCTAGCAGCTGTGATGCCATGGGGAAGGTGAGACTGGATTGGAGAGATGATCCAAACATAAGGGTTACTTACCCATCGGGTACATCTGTGTTGGGAAGTGTTTGAATCCTTTGATCATGTCTGATATGAAGAACCTTTTCCTCTGGGGACATCTAATTACTATCCAGTTTGTAATTTTGTTTTATTTTCACACTGCCCTTAGGAGTGAGGCCAGATGTCCCCTAAAGGCACATGACTTTTATCTTTTGAGCTGTGTATCAAGTAACTTGTAGAAGGCACCCATCTCTGGGGAAGGGAAGTTAGGGATGGTCAGCCTGTTGAGAACTGGCATAGAGTCAGGTGTAACCTCCATGTTACTGGCAGTGGCCTGTTTTAAAGAGTTTACACAAAAGTTAGTCCTCATATCTAAAAGTTATGACTCTATCCATTCATTACACATGCATGTATTGACTACTTTGTGCCTAGCAATGTGTCCCGCTCTGAGTCGGAAGGTAACAAGATACTGTTCCTGGATCTTAAGCTGGTGTTTAGGGATGTAATAACAATTACAAGCGCAAACTGAAATGAATCTTGTCCATTCACTTAGTGTTTCCTTCCTATTTTCTCAAAGTTCCAGCAGATGCTGTGTGTGTTCATTAATCTTCTGTGAAATTGAACACTAGCAACCCTGACTTAGTCATGATTTGGGACAAAGTGCCTAAATTCTTTTGGCATCTCAGGTTTTCCACTGGTGTGTCCCATCCTGCTCTGAAATTCTCTGTGATCTCTTTCTATTGAGGGTACCATAAAATAATGTTATCTAACATCTCCCTGTAGTGTCCCTGGGAAGCTCATGATTTTCAGTTCTTTTGTCAGATTCTCATTTCAAAGGGTTTTAGTTCTCTATCATCAAGTTTGCTTCTCTGATTGTATAAGCTTTACTCATTTAGGGAAGAAAAAGCAGTTTTCAGACCACCAAAAAGTGCTTCTTCCACCTCAGTGGCCACAGGAGAGTCACTCAGGGGCCTGTTCAGGATCTCCTTTATTTCCATGCACAAGCAGAGTTGGCTTTCATGGCTTTCGTCCTTAACAGGACACGGCTCCGACTACTTAGCCTCCTCTGACATTCAGCAGCTGTTTCCAGATGTTTTAAAAGGATTGTCTTTTCTTGATAAATGTGACTTCTGAATGATTTGTTAGAGAAGGGTGAAATAAAGCTAAGCTGTCCTTAGATTAAGGAGCTACTGACTGCATTCCCCACTGACCTCTTGCTTCAGGTTCATTCCTTCCTTTCCTTTCTCATCTCTTGAGGTTCCTCCAAACTTTTGTCTGATCTTATGGTTTCTGGCCTCTTTGTTTCTCTGTGCTTCTCTTCCTTTTCTGTATTTTCCTCTGTCTTCCCTTCCTTCTTTCTTCGTCCCTTCTCATCCTTTGGCTCCTCTTCTTTTTCTGTGCCACGTTTCATCTTTTCTTTTTCCTTCTCCCCCATTCCTTCTACTTGTCTAATTCTCCATCTGTTCATCTATTTATTTGTCTTTATTTCTTTCTATCACCTCCCAATAGCAGTACAGTTTTCTATTCTTGTACATTGTTTATTTTTTTTTAATGTTTACTTCTTTTTGAGAGAGAGAGAGAGAGCATAAACAGGGATGATGCAGAGAGGGAGGGAGACAGAACTTGAAGCAGGCTTCAGGTTCTGAGCTGTCGGCACAGAGCCCAACGTGGGGCTCAAACTTACAAACTCTGAGATTATGGCCTGAGCTGAAGTCAGATGCTCAGCTGACTGAGCCACCCAGATGCCCCGATTTTGGCACATTGTTGATTTCTAAAATTCTGTAAAAATTCAAATAATGTTTAAATCAAATAACATATGTTATGGAGGTAATTCTGTTCTCTAGTAGTTAAAATACATTCTAAAAAAAATTGCCAGTTATATTCTAAATGTTTGATACACTAGTCAACAGTACATTTCTGGCATTCTATATAAAAAATACTCTTTTCCTTCACAGTGGAACATGTGTACAATGATCATCAGATTAAAACAAAAGATTGGCCTCACTTGCCATTTCAGTAATTTCCATCTTTGCCTCTGTTACATTCAATTTATTAGATAAGCATTTTACTACCATCGAGACTTTCCCTTTTCTATTTTCTGAAAACTTAGAAAGTTCAAGCTGCAATAAAATATTCAAGTAAGAGTACAAATAAGGTAATGAAAAAGAAGGATATTGATGTTACTGAAAGTGGATATTGACATATCCATAGCCTCACTGTGCAGTAAGTTGAAATATTTGTTAATTAATGGATTGAAAGGTGGATTTATCACAAGAAAGTTACT